ACACACACACACACACACACACACACACACACACACACACACACACACACACACACACACACACACACACACAAAAGTTGCTGAAACCTTCTGCATTTAAAAAGTCTCACATTGTTTTGGAAGACTTTTGTCCCACTTTTCTTTATGTGCATTTATTTCTGCACGACTCTCCAAATCCCACCACAGCATTTATTCAAGCTGAGGTTTGGACTTTAAATGAGATTCGGAGAGGAAAAAAAAACAAGTTTTACTTTTTAAATGAAACCACACACAGTCCAACCACAACATCCTAAAACATCTATTTTTTTTATTTGTTCCATGGCTGCAGTTTTACATGCTGTTTTTTGTGTGTAATGACAACAGCACGTGTGTCAGMTGGAAGTTAGGCTTACCTTTGGGAACAGGCTCACACTTTGCTACCATGACATTGTAATCATGGCCACTTGGACACACACAGAGGAAGGAACCGTCTGCATTCACACACTCCGCCTCGCCGCATACGTTGCTCAGCAGCTCACACTCATTCAAATCTGAGGAGAAAAAATTAGGAGGATAAATGGTATTTGGCTTTTTATCTCACTTGCTGATCCTAGCTTCTAAACTTCAGCAGCCTTTAAACACTTATAAGTTGACACTAGGTTAGACTTCAGGCCTGAAACACTGTTTGTCAGTGAAATACTGCTGCATGTGAGTTACACCTTCATGTTAAGGCTGCCTTCCAGGTCTCCCTTGAAAAAGAAATCTGTGATCTCARTCGCAAACATGTCAACACCTTCAGACATTTACCTGCATACTGACTGTCGGAATCTGTAAATTGCATTAAAAAAAACTTTAGTACTCTCGTACATTACAACAGGACACAGGTGGTGTTTGCAGCAAAGCAGATGATGGAAGCAGAGCGGGGCATATGTGTGGCGACTAGGCGTTGTTTGTGGTGGAGCAGGCAGTTTCTTGGAGGGACAACTCTGAGACGTAAAAAAATTGTGAAGCAGTTTTTTTAAAATAATCTGTAGGATTTTCTCTCTACGTCTGTATACAAGCATAATGGTGCAAAGTCCATATAATTTATAGACAATCTKCAAAACTTGACATGTATGCAATGATGTTTAACCTAATTAAATGAATCTTTAATTCTTAGTCAATCCTAACGCTCTGTAGCTCGCATTTTTTTAGTGGTTTACAGAAATGAGTGAAGTGATAATGCAACAATAAAGTTGTAAGTAGAGCTAAACTTCTGAGGCAAGACAAGGAAACCMCAGATAGAAAAGACAAGGAGAGAAAGATAAAGAAAAGCAAAGAAGACTGGGCTTGTAAATGAACAGATTTAGGGAGGAAGAGAGTAAAAGAACTTTCTGAATGGTTAGTGGTACACCACCACTGTTGGCTTTTTAAGGGCTGTGTGTTTGTGTGTAAGTGAGTCCATCTGTACAAGCCGCAGTACAGTGATGGTTTGGCAGTGCAGAGGGAACTGCAGGATGGGCTGAACCTGGGTGGAATGGATGAGAACTTTAAATGGGTATAAAGCTCTTACTAGATGTGATCAATCGAACATTAAACCACGTGTTGGGATAGCATTGGTTAATAAAAGTGTGAYGGTAGATAACCTTCCAAGTTGTTGCCCCTGTCTTTTGGTGGGGTGCAAAAGCAAGTGAATTTGTACAAAATATTTCGCAGTTGTTTTACGCAACCTGGGCTCAAACCCGCACTCTCAATAGAACATGACCGCCGCACTGACCACCGAGCTACCGCAGCCCCCGACAATCCTTCCAAGTAATTAAAGTAATTAAAGGAAATCCATCAAGAAAGAGAACTGCCTGGTTAGCCTGAAGATGTTGCACCACATGAGCTGCAGTAAAAACACAGAATGCAGCAGCGTATAAAGTGTTCCAGGCCTCACCAAAACTATTTCTTCAGCAGCAGAGTTCCTCCATCTGTGCAGCTGGGACAATGTAAACAACATGGGCCCCGTCCACACTACCCCAGATATTTTTAAAAATAGATCTTTGCTGTTGTGTTAGTAGTTTCGTGTTCACAGAAACAGGGTCTTTTTTTGAGAATCACAGAAATTTTTAAAAATGCTTTCCAAAATGGAGAAATTGAGCCATTTTTGCTGGGGGTTTTTTCTACGTTTGTCTCACTTTATTGTGTTGCCATAAAGCCTTTGCTGTGTGCTGCAATTGTTAATGAGCTAAAACTGTAAGCAACAATTATTTAAACCAATTTGTAGCCAAGCAAAGCATGCTCTTTCTCTGTATTTTGGCATCATTGAGGATGTTCTTGCCATATAGGTAAAAATAATGTGGACAGCACAGACATTTTATCATCAACAAAGAAAACTATTTTCATTTTTAAAACTACAACCACTACTTAACATATTTGTTCGTGTATAATACGATCTCGTATAATATGACCCCCCCTCCTTTTTTTTAGCTTAAAAAGCATAAAAAATTTRATCCTCAAACTACCTCCAATATCATACAGACTTCAAGATTTTTCAGCCTTTGCAGTCTTTATACATATCAGTAAAATGATCATTGGACTGTTCATTTTATTTTAACAACATATGTACTAAAAGGTATTTTGACAACAAATTTAC